CTACCCATCAGCGTATCTTAACCCTCTAAAGCTTTCGCGCACCTTACCACTGTGATCCGCAACACACCGGATCCTTTCTATTGATTAACCAATATCCAATGGCCTCTAACCTGCAGCGCACTGAAGCTCCATGTGCCGCACCACACTGAATCACTCTATTATTGTGTATGGCTCTGATTCACACATACACCAAGTTACAGTAGGCTACACCACACTGAACCAACACCCACTCTTTGATGCGCCGATTTCATACCTCCAGTATATATAAACAGTATATATATATATATATCCAAACAAATATGTTAAAAAAAAAATATCTCATAAAATTCCTAAAAAAAATATAAAATAATACCAGAAAATTCTAGAAAAATTTAAAAAATTCTATAAAACCTAATTAACCCTCTTGGGTCATAAATTAAGCATATCAGTTCATTCTAAAAAAAAAAAATAATAATAAATACAACCCATAGATTAAACAATAAAAATCTAAAATTTTAAAAATAAAATATAATAATTCATGTTTTAAATATTTCTTTCTAACCATCATTTAATCAATAAATTTAACCTAAAATTTTGATACTCAAGGTGAAATCTTTATGAGTTCTAAGAGGAAAGATAGAGAAAAACTCACCTGAAGGTTTCGAAACGAAACCGACGCTTCAAGCCTTGATTGTCTCTTCCAATTCCGGCATTCTCTTTCTCAGATCCGACCTCTTTCTTGTCCACCCTCTCTTCTTTTCTCTCTGCCTCTCTTATTTTTCTAACGTGATAAACTTTTATCGATAAAACCTTAAGTGTATATTTATACACATTACTACCTAATCTTATACCAATAATGACTACCAAATAACAAGGAAACTAATAATCCTCAACTAATATATATATTTAGACACGCATATTTTATATAATATATATATATGTACTTTTCCTTCCATAATTAATTATTAATTAATTAAATCATATATACCTATGTATATCCTTAAATATATATTTATATATATATATATTCTTCCATAACACTAATTAATTAATTATATTTATAATTATACAAAAATGATTATTTAAATAATCACAAAACCATGGACTTTATTAATTAATCCAATAAAGTTTCATTCAAGTCCAAGACCATATCCTTTGATCCAATTTTCCTTAAGCCCAGTCCAATTAATTTAAATAAATAAATAACTAAATAAACACTTAAATTAAAATAACTAATTACATGAAGCATATAAACAAACAAGAATTTACAACTAAGTCACACCATACCAATAAAATCAACACGCTAACAATTCAATCAATAATTAAGTACACAAACAATCAATCATCATACATAATCACGAAATATAACTTAATTAAAATAAGATAATTAATCTAGCACTCAATTAAATAAAACAAATCATTTTAAAAAATAAAAATAAAAGCAATTAAACCCAAATAAATCAAACAATTCATTTAAAAATAAAACAAAAGTAATTAATTCCAATTAATAAATCATTTAAAATATCGGGGTATTACAGTTACTATAGGAAATCAAGTGTATAATTGTGTCAATGTGATTTATAAGATAAGATAAACATATCAACAAAATTATATATTCAAATGGTAATCATATACATTCATTCAATGTAAAACACATTCATTTAATCTAAATACTTCTAATTTATGAAATCAAATATATACACAAGAAGAATCCCTAAATCGAAATACAAATTACTACATATTTACTTGGTCTAGGCTACATCAACTCCCTAGAAAGGAAGTTAGCAACTCATGGATATGGTAGCAACTTCAAGCATTGAAGAAGAGAAAGATTTTCCTTTTTTCCCCATTATTGCAAAACTCAACATAAGAACCCTAAGGAAAATCCTCTCCTTCACAATCTCTTGTTAGAATCCCAAAACTAACTGATTTGATTCAAGTCTCTGCCCTTTCTTTATCCCCAGATGAGTTTCAAAACAAAACAACTCGTCAAAATTCAAATCCCCACTTAATTTGGAACAAACTCTAACTTATTCAAAATGGGGGCCCGTAACCTTGCGTACAAACGCGAAGAATGGCGTTCGGACACGAGGCCCTGCTAGTTGGCATCCGGACGCCAGTTCTTGCGTCTGGACGTGAGGCTCTGATAGTTGGCATTCGGACGCCAGTTCCTGCATCTGGACGCGAGGCATGCTGCCTGGCTTCTTCTTTTCTTTTACAGTGCTGGTTGTATCCATTGCTTGTTTGGGCCATTTCTCCTTGATAATCACTTGATATTTAGGCCCGATATGACTTGTGTTTCAAAAACCCTTAAAACCTTATTTTTATTCTTTTTTAGTAATAAGATCTGCAAAAACACAAAAACATAAAAATTGAGTTAATCTATACACACAGATCAAATAATGGGCTTAACTAATGCAATTAAGGGCATTTAAATATGCAATATTTAACACTTATCAGCGATTCCTTATATCCGAACGCAAGCCTTTCATACACTGTATTTGGACGCGAAAAGCTACGTCTGGACGCCATGCTTCTAGTAGCAGTTTAAGTTACGGGTTTGACCTATTTTGATGGCTACAGGATTTGGTCTTTTGGGCTTATTTTTGTAACTCTTTGGCTCTAATAGGCTTGTTACTTAAGGGGCCAGTGAACCATGATTAGGAGTTAGTTTTATTATTTTATATTATGAAGTTTTATTATTCTGTAATCAATACTACGTTCTCTCTGGAAAACGCAAAAAAGAGGAGAAACAGAACAATGGGTTAGGGTTTGGAAGAAAAAAATCAGAGATGATGAATCAAAGGATGGAGCTTGTTCTGTCTTCGAATCCATCAACCATGAGCGGCTAATTCTTCTACTTAGGGTTGGATAAACAATAAGCATGTAACATATTCTTTCTTTCTTTCTTACTTTTTGGTGATTAATTTATGTAATTAATGTATAGACTTGAATAACATGATTAAATTCTTTCAATTGTTTATCTGTATTAATCTCATGTTGTCTTATATGTGGTTAATTGATAAACAAACTTTACACTTGAATTCTTTGTTAATTGATTCTTGTGATGTCTATGCATGGTGATGATTAATTATAATTTTGGTTCAATTTGATAGATAACGCTTATATTAGATGGGTTGTACTACATAATTAGGTTAATTTCTTGTCTAATTAGTTTAATTTCTGGCTTAGTTAGTTTAAATTAAGGTTAATTTGTTTAATTGCAATTGAATTCCTTGGTAAGTAGACAATCAATACTAGTATTTGAAATTCATGCTTATTGTCACAATTGCATTATCCTCTAAATTAATGTGTGTTGAAATTGTAACTTGAATTGATAAATCATACTTTGAATTGGTGAATTCCACTACACTTAGTTTATTTGTCATTAAGTAGTTGATTTATGCTTGAAATTGACGGTTTACACTTTTCATTGCAATTGTTAGCCACATTAAGATTACACATTGTTATTTCCCTAATTAGTTGAATGTAATGAGTTAGGGAATGTGCTTAATGGTGAATTTTATACCCTAAGCCTCTGCCCAATCTTTAAAACTCTAATATTTTATTGCATTACTTATATTAAAATTAGTTCTAATCACAAAACAAACATTTTTTTAGCAATCACATAAGTACTAAAGTAGAATTCAATACTAAAAACCAATATTTGTTTAGATCTCTTGGGACGATCCCTCCTCGCTTCATACCCCATAGTATAAGTGTTTAGTAGTTTTATAAATTATAAAATATGATGCCTATTTGACATTATTTCTAAACCTAAAGTGTTGTGCATTATTTTGTGCACACGCTCGGTCGCATCATAGTTTTGGCGCCATTGCCAGGGATCTAACGGTTTAAAGAATTGAATTAGACATTAGTTCTTTGTCAATTATTTACTTTAAAGTCATTTTATTTTTATTTTCTCACTTGATAATTGTCAATTAGGTATTTGAAGCAAAATGGAGCAAACGCAGGACTTTGAAGCAATAAAAAATTGAAGTTGCTTAAGGACCATTTGTAAGTTTTTCTTTGAATTCTTGAATTTAATTGTCAATTATCTTACATGCTTTGGACAGCCCAAGTGGAGGCTTATTGAATTGTTTTATTTTAAGTTCAAGCATACCTTCTTCTAGAAGGCATTTGCCGATATGGAGGCCTTTATTTGTTTGTGCATTGATATTATTGAGGAGTTTGGGAACATCGTATGTGGAGGTTGAAAATTATTGTGTAAGTGTGTTGACTTATTCTAGTACATGCATGGTCATAGATCACTTAGTCGTCCTCTTGCTCCTGTAAATCAAAATCTCGAAGTTTCCCTTTGACATTTAAGAGGTAGTGCTAGGGATAGTCAACATATTCTTCCCATTTTTGATCTTCCATCACCCTTAATGTAAGACCCAATTGAAGATCCCATTGAAGATCTTGGTCATGTGGATCACCAAGGTGTGTACCATCCACAACAAGTTCATATTATGGATCCTCAAGGTATGCATCCACCTTTGGGAATGCCACGACTAATCAATCCTGTTGTGCAACAACCTAATCTAGGGATGCCAAGGCCAAAAGTTGTTCCCCCAATTGGTGAGCAACAACATAAATATGTTCAAATGGCATACCCTCATCAAGGTCAAATTGCATACCCTTATCTCAATCCTCTCAATCCTCCAACGGTCCTTAAAGATCGTTACACTCCAAATCAATATAATGGACCCACTTGCATTCAATTACCAAATTTCTGTGCTCATCATTATGAGATTAAGGCTTCCACCATTAACATGTGCCCCTTTTTCTATAGGTTGAGCAATGAAGAGCCTTATAAACATTTAGATGAGTTTTTGGAAGTTTGTTCCATTGTAAAAATCACAAATGTGCCGGAAGAAGTCCTTAAAATGAAGCTTTTCCCTTTCACTCTTCGGGATAAAGCTAAATATTGGTTTAACAACTTGGGGCCAAATACAATCACCTCTTGTGCACAATTGCAACAAGAGTTCCTAAAGAAGTACTACCCCACGAGTCGAACCAATTCCATGAGAACTTCTATTCGTGAATTTGCATAAGAAGAAGGAGAACCCCTCCATGAAGCATAGGAATGTTTGAATGACTTACTATAGAAATGTCCACATCATGACATTCCTAAGTGACAATTAGTTCAATGTTTCTTTGCAAGTTTATCCGATGCCAATAAGGGCATTGTTGATGCTTCATGTAGAGGCAGCAACATAGAAATAAATGAGGATGAAATTTCGCATCTTTTAAAAAAAATGAGTGAAAACTCAATGCATAGATCTTCATCTTCTAGGGGGGTCGCCTAGCAAACGTGGGAGGAAAGAAAGCTCTATGTCAAATAGACACTTCCATGGAAATTGCCGCCGAGGTAAAAAATCTTACTAAAAGGTTTGATAAATTCCTTTTGAATCAAAGTCCAACAATTTAATCTTCTTTCCATCATTCAAATGTAATGTGCATGACTTGTTCTAGTTACACTCACCATACTTCAAATTGTCCTCTTGGACAAATCATACCAAGTGAGTCTCAAGAACAAACAAATGCCGCTTTCATTCATCAAGGGAACAAATCTTATTCCAATACTTACAATCCGGGGTGGAAGAATCATCCAAACTTTGCATGGAAAAATCAAGGAGATGGTGCGAACCTTCCTCAAACTCAATGTTACCAAGCAAAGTATGTTCCCCCACATCTCCAAAATTAGAATTTTTAAAATTACCGTCCTTCATTCTATCCTCAAAATATAAATCAACATTCTCATCCTCAACCATCAAATTCTCAATCCTACTCTCATCTTCAAGCATCAAATTCTCAATCTTATTCTAATTTAAATCAAGCGCCTCCTAAGAGTTCCGCTTTTGAAGACAAGGTCTTGGAAGCCTAGGTGATCTTCAAAAAGATAATCAATTGTTTCATTCTCGCTCTCAATCAATTACAAAGCTTGAAGCTCAAATCAGGCAATTAGCTAATTCTTTAAATGTGAGAGAGAAATGTAAGTTGTCTAGTCAAACTGAGACCAATTCTAAGGGGCAATTTATGGCGCAATCAAGTCCTTCATCGGGATTTTTCAGAAATGAACAAGTTCAAGCAATTACTACCTTGAGGAGTGGTAGGAAAATGGACAATAAGGTAGAGGTACCTAAGGAGGATAGTGAACTAGCACAACCAAGTGGTTGTATCCGTCCCATTCCAAATCCTATTCCTACTTTCTTGGATGCTAGTGGTTCCAAAAAGGACATTCTATCATCTTTATCATCATCTCCACAATTAGAGAAGCCTTATGAGCCAAAAGCTCCATTTCCTCAAGCATTGAGAGAGACTTCAGCATTTGGGAGACAAGAAGGAAAAATTCAAGACGTGATGGAAGTGTTTAAACAAGTGAAAATTAATCTTTCTCTTCTAGATACAATTAGGAAAATTCCACCATATGCAAAGTTCTTGAAAGACTTGTGCATTCAAAAGAGGAAAAACAAAGGAAAAGACCTTAAGAAAGTGCTTCTAACGGAACAAGTGAGTTCCATTCTTCTTCTAACACTCCTCCTAAGTTCAAGGATCCGGGCGCTTTGACCATTTCTCGTGTTATTGGAAACCAAGAGGTTCGTAGAGCTCTCCTTGATTTAGGTGCAAGTATTAATCTCATTCCATGCTCTATTTACTTGCAATTAGGATTAGGGGACTTGAAGCCAACATCGGTAATAATCTAACTAGCCAATAGATTAATTAAGAAACCGAGGGGAATTGTTGAGGACATCTTAATTAAGGTTGATAAGTTTTATTTCCCGGTTGATTTTATGGTACTTGATACTGAGCCAATCCCTAATCTCACCAATCACCCAGTCATCCTAGGAAGACCATTCCTTACCACTGCCATTGCCACCATTAATTGTAGATTAGGCATTATAGACATCTCTTTTGGCAACATGATGGTTAAGCTTAATGTATTCAATGCGAGTCAATATCCCACAGATGAAGACAAGTGTTTCCCAGTGGATGTCTTGGATGAAGCCATAGAGGAGATTCTTCCCTCTATTTTCTCTAAGGACCCTCTTGAGGTGTGCCTTTGTGAAATGTTTAAAAGTTGTGGTTTTGACACAGAAGGATCTATAAGTGAGGTGAATGCTTTGATGGACTCTGTGGCCACTTTGGATTTTTTACCTTGGAAAAACAAGAAAGAATTTCTTCCTTCACTCTCTAGTACTACACCAGTTCCTTCTCTCATCTCTCTTCATACTCTTGAGCTTAAGCCTCTTCCATCCAATCTCAAATACGCCTTCTTAGGCCCAAGAGACTCTTCCGGTCATCATTACTTCAAATCTTGAAAATGACTAAGAGAATGATCTTTTGGAAGTGCTTAAAACTAATAAAGAAGCCATTGGATAGAGTGTGGCTGACCTAAAAGGCATTGACCCTTCTATTTATATGCATCACATACACATGGAAGAGGATGAAAGGTCATTTAGGGATGCTCAAAGGAGATTGAACACAAATATGAAGGAAGTTGTCATGAAGGAGGTTGTGAAACTTCTAGATGCAGGAATCATTTATCCTATATCTGATTTCAAGTGGGTTAGTCCAACTCAAGTAGTTCCTAAAAAGTCGGGAATCACAGTTGTTGAAAATGCTAAGGGTGATCTCATATCGAAACGTACCGCCACTTCGTGGCGAGTTTGCATAGATTATCGAAAGCTAAATTCCGCCACTAGAAAGGACCATTTTCCATTGCCTTTCATTGATCAAATCTTAGAAAGATTGGCCAGACAACAATATTATTGCTTCCTAGATGGTTACTCGGGGTACAATTAAGTGGTTTTAGACCCATTGGACTAAGAAAAGACCACCTTCACATGTCCCTTCAGTGCATTTGCTTATCGATGGATGCCTTTTGGATTGTGCAATGCTCCTGCCACTTTTCAAAGGTGTATGATGTCAATTTTTTCGGACATGGTGGAGAAATATTTAGAAGTCTTCACGGATGACTTCTCGGTTTTTGGGTCCTTCTTTGATTCATGTCTCCAAAATCTCTTAAAAGTGCTTCAAAGATGTTGTGAGACTAATCTCGTGTTAAGTTGGGAAAAGAGCCATTTCATGGTTCAAGAAGGAAGTGTGTTTGGACATGTTATCTTTAAAAGAGGAATAGAAGTTGATAAAGCAAAAGTTGAGTTGATTTCCGAATTGTCTCCACCTCCTACGGTGAGAGAAATCCGCTCCTTTTTAGCTCATGCCGATTTTTATCGCCGATTCATCAAAGACTTTAGCAAAATTGCTAAACCCTTATGCAATCTTCTTGCCAAGGAGACACCATTTGTCTTTAATGAAGCATGCCTGCTTTTCCTCAACTTCGCACTCTTTTATCATTCGCTCCCATCATGCAACCTCTAAATTAGTCATTACCATTTGAGACTATGTGTGATGCTTCCGACTTCGCAATAGGTGCTGTTTTGGGGCAAAGGGTAGGTAAGCTACCATGTGCTATATACTATGCGAGCAAGACTTTCTCAGGTGCCCAATTGAGCTATTCTACCACCGAGAAAGAATTACTTACCGTAGTATATGCCCTTGATAAATTTTGTTCATACCTCTTAGGATCCAAGGTTATTGTGTTTTCTGATCATGCCGTTCTTAGGCATCTTTTAATGAAAAAGGAAACCAAACCTTGCTTGATAAGATGGATCATACTTCTTCAAGAATTTGACTTTGAAATCAAGGACAAAAAGGGTTCCGACAATGTCATTGCCAATCATCTTTCTAGATTAATGGTTGAATCTTCTCCAAATCTTAAAATTCATAAATCATTTTCGGATGAACAACTCTTTCAAATCTCAAATGGGAATTTGCTTTGGTTCGCCGACATTGTTAACTATCTTGCATCCGTCAAACTTCCCATTAATTGGTCAAAACAAGAAAATGACCGATTCTTTGCTAACATCCGAAAATACTATTGGGAAGATCCCATTCTGTTTCGTTACTGCCCGTATCAAATCATAAGAAGATATCTGCCGAAAAGTGAAGTTCCGAGTGTCCTTATGTTTTGTCGCACACTTGCTTGTGGTGGGCATTTTAGTGGAAAAAAACTGCTTTGAAGGTTCTTCAAAGTGGGCTATTTTGGCCCACTATCCACCGAGATGCCTATAACTTTTGCAAGGTGTGTGTTCGGTGTCAAAAGTTGGGATCAATGTCAAAGAGAGACATGATGCCTTTAACTTTAGTCTTCGTAGTTGAAATCTTTAATGTATGGGGTATAGATTTTATGGGACCATTCCCAATGTCTTATGGCTTTCAATACATTCACGTTGCCGTTGATTATGTGTCAAAGTGGGTTAAGGCTTGTGCTACCAAAATGAATGACCACTCTGTGGTAATTGCATTCGTCAAATCAAATATCTTTGCTCGTTTTGGTATGCCAAGGGCTATGATAAGTGATAGAGGAAAATATTTCTGCAATCAATTTTTGAAACAACTCTTCTTAAAATACTCCGTCACACATAAAGTGGCCACTCCCTACCATCCCCAAACAAGTGGGCAAGTCGAGGTGTCAAATAGGGAAATTAAGCATATTCTTGAGAAAACTGTCAATCCGACCCGAAAAGATTGGTCAAGGAAATTGAATGATGCCTCGTGGGCTTATCGGACAGCTTACAAGACTCCAATAGACATGTCTCTATATAAATTTGTTTATGGGAAGCCTTGTCACCTTCCAGTTGAGTTAGAACATAAACCACTTTGGGCAATAAAAAGGCTCAACTTTGATCTTTATAAGGTTGGAAAGGACCATTTGCTCTAAATTAATAAGCTAGAGGAATTGAGAAATGCTGCCTATGATAGTTCAAAGATCTACAAGGCAAGGACAAAAGCATTTCATGATAAACATATTGTGAAAAAGTCATTTGAAGCTGGACAAAAGGCTTGGTTATTTAACTCTAGGCTCAAATTCTTCCCTGGAAAGCTTCATACCAAATAGGAATGCCCTTATCTAATCATCTCCGTCTTACCTCATGGGGCGGTTGAACTTCAAAATCTAAAGATGAAGGGACCTTCAAAGTTAATGGTCAAAGGCTTAAAACATTCATTGATGGACAAGCTCTTCAAAGAAATATGGAATCCGCTCTCTTGGTGGATCCCATTTAC